CCTGGTTTTAAACTCACTGATTTGAACAGCTTTTTAGACAGTTTTTAGACAACTGTTTAGACCCTCTGTGCTCAGCAGAGGGTAATTCTACATTGTGGCTTCAGGGTAGCTGTACGCAGCACACAAGGTAGACAAGGGGTGAATAATACTCATATTTTCATTAACACTGAGTGGTTAAACACAAATTTGGATGGTTTGACTTTGTTTTCTTTTTAGACTATACTATTTATACCACTGGTGGTCTTAATCCGATGTTTTTTCTCTTGCCTGTTTTGACTGCTTTGATCCTAGAAGAACAATAGTAGATCAGACATACTGTAAAATCAATCTGGTCCAAAAGAATTATAAATAGTGGGGAAAGATTAAGTGCACAAAAGAATGCACCAGATAGTCTTAATACTGCATTATACAAAGTTCACTTGTTGTGAAGTGAATAGAGGAAAAAATGCCACCAGACAGATTTTGTAGCTTTCCACAAAGTTCTAATAAGAACCGTGATATAAGGGACAATAACTTATTATTTGTCATAATCATTCGTTAAAGTGCTGTGAACTTCAGACATTTTGGGCAGGGCACAAAGAATGGAAAATCTTAGCAAAAGGAAATAATGATCTCCTTTCATATAGCTTACTGTGTGAACACTTCTGTAACAACTCTAGAAACTTGTTGTAGTGAATTTAACCAGTTGGGGGACCAGCCGTGTGTGATGGGATATGCAGTCGTAAAAGAACTGATGGACTCCTAGAAGCATAATCAGCTGCGGGGGTTTCATGCTTCCAGAAAGAAGTTTAAAAAAAAAAAGGAGAGAGCCACTCAGCTGACAGCTGGTGGGGAGGGAGACGGCAGAGCTTGTTGTACTTGCTGTGCAAATGTAAACTTCTTACTACAGACTTCCCACGGGAAGGAGGCCCTAATGTGGAAGGACTGCCTTCTTTGCCTGATTTAACCCAGGCTTTTCCAAATAGCAGTGATCTGAAAATACCTGTTTATTTCAGGCTTGTAGAGCACTGAGGCAGTAGGAACTGCTGAGAAGTGTCCCCAGAAAAGCAAAAAAAGTCTGGTCCTCAGGGTTCAGGATGCACAATCCACTACTGAATGGAGCTTTACACAGCATATCTGCATATTTCTAGGTGAAATTTAATTACATTAAAGATGAGCAAATTGCTGACCCAATTACATAGCCCATCTATGACTGAAAACAAAGACCGGATGCAAAGACACTACAGCTTTCTGCTGTGTGGTGCACACGTATCCTTTGTTTTCGGTTTGAATTTCAGGTATGCCAGAATGACTGGAGTAATCACAACCCAGCCAAAGGGCCAGATCACCTGAAGACCTGGTTTCAGGGTTGGCAAATCAACCCAGAGACAAGGACAATAGTTCTGCAAGTAACAAGAGAACTGAAGACTGATTTCCTCTGAACTCATACCTGCTGACTGACTAGAGCATATTATAGGAAGGCTGTAACATTAGTTTTATTCCCTCTTGGACACCAAATAATCTATGTAGGATTCCATAAATTTCTTTATTTTTGGGAAAAATCTCTGTGCAGCTTGTCTAATTTTCTATAACTAAGAAGGATTTGCATCTTTCCTTAGTTGGTTGATCTCCTAACGTCTTATTCTGGTTTTACGTTTCTTCTCAGCCTTTCTTCCAGTGAAGGCAATAAAAGTCCCTCTTCTCTGACTAGCTGCCTGTTTTCGTGGTAGGAATTTCCAGTCTTTGAGGCCACAACTGCACATTAAATCTGGCTGCAACTGATGGATGATTTTAAAAACTTTTCTGGGGGCAGGAAGGTGTAGGCAGTGTGTGCTAGCACAAGCCTTGCTTTCCTGGAATTTTATGCCTCTGCATAGGAAGCCTATCTAAGGTTGACATGTTCTAAAAACAGCCCAGCATAGATGCGCCTGCAAAACACTCTAACACCTATATTTCTATAATTCTTGGCTACAGGAACACAAAGCTGATCATCGCTTCTGACATCTTAATTTCGTTATTTGGTTTAATAGCTCTAAAGGGACTTAACTTTGCAGAGTGCAGATGTTCATAACTCAGAAATGGGCCTCTTGAAGATGATCTCAAACTGAGCAACTGAACTAACTTTAAATTTCTTTAACTCTCTGGGGGCCAATTTCAAGTCTGGGTCAAGTCCTACAAGACAGCAAAGGTCTCCTGGAAGCTGTTCAGTTCTTTCTGAACTTGTTATCTTGAAGAAGGGTTAGATGGAACTGCTTTCTCATGCAAAGTAAACTAAGAAGCTTTGCCAGAAGATCAGTGTGAGATACAAAGAGGACATAGTACTCATGTAAATAAGCACATATAGAGTAACTCCTGTGCAGGTTCATTGTTTCCCCTTTACAGCTATTTTGGCTCCACAGATATGCTAGTTATGCCAGCCTAAGCCTATCTGCTCCAAATGTTGCCTTTGTGCACCTAATGGTTTCAGGCTCCCGTTGCAGTACTTCTCTCATCTTGCATTCCTTGAAAACTGCAGCTGCAACATTTCTGCTTTTCTCTAGCTTTTGGGTGTCTGGAGAAGACTTCTGTCATCCCTTCCAACATGCGCACACTTGTGACAAGCCTAAAAGCCAGTGTAAGGATTTGGGGATCACTCAAACATACAAATGACTTGAAAGCAATTCAAAGTTGTCTCTCCCTCCTGCAGTTAAACAAAAACAGTTGCCTAGACTGAAAATGTACAGTACCCGTAAGCTGCACTGTTGAAAAATATGAAGCTCTCAGCATGATGTAATACTGTGCTTGTTTCTAACTTGGGTGTTGATTTCCATGCCAAAAGTTATAGATGAGTCCTGTAAATGCTAGCATTTGTCCCACCCTTTCTAGCTCTTTAAACTACTAAGCATTACATTTTCCCAAGAGCAGCGGTAGTTGCAATTTACCACAAGCATTTTCTTCTAAAGGCAATTAAATATTATCAGTTGCTTCACATACCACACAGAATCTTTTCACTGGCAGTGAGGCGTTTTAATCCTGGAATCACTCTGCTTTGACAAGTGTTTTAAAATCTTTACAGCCGATATATTTTACAGAATTCTTAAACTAAGATACATACAAGTAGTAGTATGCAGGCAGCTTTCAAGTGGTGTAAGACTTGGCATAACACCAGAGATGCTTCTGCCAGTGGCAATGCCAGCTGCTTTTGTGGTTGATGATGGTACCTGGCAAAAAAATATTTGGGCACACCCTCTCCTCCAGCCCTTCTCTAATCATGGGTAAGGACTCTTCGCATGGTGTTTTGAGATGGTGGTTCCCTTAAATGCTACAAAGGCTTAAAGGCCTTGCTAAAATGTTTTCTTAATTTTACAAGGACAAGTGTTTTTCAAATGCGTTAAGCTTTTGAAAGTTTTTCACAGTACATCATTTGTATTAATTCTACATGTAAATGCCACTGTCACTTTAAATTTCTCTTGTGAACAGAGAACCCCTGGAATTAGATTAGTAACTTCCTGCTCTATGATGCGTCCCGTTGATGCTTTTGGTAATATATTAAGCTACACACTGAGATTTTCCAGTCAATTTCTTTTGTAATAAGAAGTAAAAAAAAAAAAGTATATACATTAAATGAAACCAGTGGTGTAGCAAAGTGATTCCTAAATGCTTGTTACTCACCTTTGCTGTAAGGTGTCTGTCTCATGTAAACATCCCTTTACTGTTTCCCCCACAAAATTAAAATCACTGTAAAAAGAATAGCATGCCGTCTCCTCTTCCCTCCCAATTTTATTTCCAGTTTTCAGAATGAGTTTGAAAAACAAGAACTACAAACTAAACTGCTCTGAAAACTCCAGCAAGCAAGTAGCATTTGATCTGATAGGAACTGACCAGTACTATTCAAGCCAATGAGATCACATTATTCACAGCTGCTTCTCTAAACATTCAAAATACCACAAATTTATACAAGCCTCTTTAGAATTAGACATCCAGTTAACAGCGAGAGCTAAAATAAGTCTGCTTAGAAACATCCTCTGTGGGTCTACATATTCCGCTACTAAATTATGAAAAATGTCTTGTAACTTCACAAGTTCTTACTGGTTTCATTAAAATATTTAAACCACCATAAATTATTAATTTGAAATTCTGCTAAAATAATGCTTTTTTTTTTTTTTTTAAAAAAAACAACCTCAAGTTTGGATAACTGACTCCTTAAGATGACAACTCCTCTAGCAAAAAGCCAGCTTTAACCAAAATTTCTCTTAAAGGATTGCAGGGCTTAAATGTGGGAGTCCAGTGCCCTACCTCTTGAGTCTTGCATTAACACAAAACTTTTGAATATCCCTGGTTTAGTTCTATAACCTGGCAACCCTGAATGCTTCTGATTTGATTAAGTGTGTGGACTAGTTTAACATAAATGTTGTAATAAGCATGAGACTGCAGTTTTGTGAACAGCTTGGAAAAGTTACTAAAGTCCTGAGGAGTTGCTGCTTCAGCAGTAATGTTTTTTGTCATTTGATGAGATAATTAATGTCAGTCAGCCAAAGACTAAATAAATATGCATGTAGCCAAAAAGTCCATGTAAGCACAAGAACTGAATCTGTATTTATTTCTGCTGGTCTGAACCTGCCTGTTCCAGACTGGTCATACCATTTCAGGAGCAAGACCAGCCAACAGGATAACCAGGCTTTCAGGCACAGTTTGTGGTGTTGCAATCCTGAAAAGATATTATCAAGAACCTGCAACCTTGTTTGTGCTGGCTCTACCAGCATTAACAAGGGAGTGACAGGCTCTCTGATGTTACCTGCAAACTTTGAGAGGGAAAGCTGGTATTTGTTACTCTAATTCACAAGCAGGGCAACCCATTCTCTCGTTCTTGCTGTATTGATGCTACATCTCTTTTAGCTTTAATTTTACATTCAAAATACTTTTCCTGTGAACTGTAAATCTAAACATATATATGAGATACAGTCTGTCATGTCTTGATATTCCAAATGCTTTTATGATTCAGATTAGCAAATTCTCAATAAATTAAAATTTATTTTACCTACCAAATCTGGTTTCAGTTTGTAGGTCAAAGGAAGGGAGTAAAGCATGGAGTACAGGGTTGTTACCACCGAGGAGGTCCAAGATTGTCTAACCTCACGGCTTCTGGGAATGCGATTGAGGGTGAACTGCAAGAGAGAGTGATAGGTTGAACTGTTATATTTCTAAGAATGTTGATGCTCTTTCTATAGAGTTATTAGATCTGTCTGTGCCAACTTTTTTTATTTTTTTTTTTTTTAAATCTAGTTTTGAAATGTTTGGGTATGAAACATTTTCTTAGATGCCTTATTCAGTGTCATGCTCACTGCTGTTGGCAATAAAGTAAAACGAAATACTAGAACTATATAATCTATTTTTTAATCTCTTCTAATGTTACTTTTAAATATTTCTAAGTTAAACAACTCAGCTGGAGCAGCTTCACCCGCGGTATGTTAACGTAGTGCCCCACCTCGTGGTCACCAAGACAAAAGTCTAGGCCTGATCAGATACAACCCAAACGCGGTGACTCTTCTGTCTCTTGCCTGTTTAAATACTTCGTGGATTTACACCGCAGAAAATGTTACAGCTTTTCTCAGTCAGTGTCCGGTGTGTACTGTTAAAAATTTAACAGCAAATACCACTATCCTTTAAGTTAGTACTCAATGAGTATTCAAAAGATATGCAAGATGCGTACTCAAAACGCAAAATATTTGCATAAAGAAACAGGAAGGAATATTTTATAATTAAATAAAAGTTTAAGAAATAATTTCCTTTGTTCTGTCTCTAGGAAAAAGTAGACATTATTCACTGTTTGTAAAAGGTATCAAATTAAGAAATCTCAGATTTTTTTCTGCTTGTCTCAGAACTATAAGCAGTTAACAGTAGTTAGGCTTCCTGCACTCTTCACAGATAGCTTTTATCTTAACATGAAGCAACTAAACCCAAGAACTATAGTTACGTCAGAAGGCAGTCCTGATGCCAATGGAATTTTTGACTGTTTAAATGAAAGACAAATATAATGGCTGCTGCACACTGTTCACTGGTGTTGACACTGTTTAGATCTGGATAATGGTCACTATCTTGCTTTATATGGGACACCAGATCATTGCTGCTCTGGCGGAACTCACACTGGGAGTGAGAGACTCTAAGTATCATTATAAATACTGAAAATTACCCAGTTACTTCAAATATACCAGTGCTAATTGTCATAGCCTAGCCCTGGTGATTTGTGACCAGGAAAGATTATGTTGCAAATAGCTGTACAGTATATACAAACTACAAATAAGTCTTGAATAGTAATAACTGGGTCTTTTTTTAATATATAAGATGGAAAGAATAAAAAACCCAGCCCACTTACAAACGTAGCATATAAAGTTAATTTTCTTGACTGAAATTATCCTGTTTCATTGTGATACGGTTATTTAATTGCAGCGAAGCTGGCAGGCATTAACTGATGTTACAAAGTAGTGTTTTATGTTTTATTTGCAGGTGTTGAAACTCTGATTGCATTAGTCTGACAACAGAATATGGAAAAATAAATATGCCCTCTGCTCCCCATTCAGCAGGATTCTGGTTATCACTACCTCTCTATTTCTTAAAGCTTTGGAAGAGATCAGGTGATAAAAAGAAAATCCCTGAGTGGAGTTTAGACCCTTGCATAGTATTCAGTCCTGCAAGAAATATGTGTAAAGTAGTTTTAGGCAGATTGGGTTTTAGTGGAACTGTTCAGGATGCTCCCATCACCTTAAGAATGGTGTTAAACAATATTTGCCAAAAAAGGTATGTGATTTTCTTCATCTTAAAAACCTGATTTCAGCAAAACTTGGTAAGGACTCCAAACGTTATCAATGTAGAAATTCACTTGCAGAATTCGAGTAAAGATGAAATTAATTTTATCTATGCTTTTCAAAAAACATGCTTGAAACTTTGTACATCAATGCCTATGTCATATGTTAGGACTTAAGCCCACATATCAACCAACACTTAGACAGCTGAGAAATAAAACCAGATTTTTGTTTGTTTGTTTAAAAGACACTGCCAGATGCTTCTGCTATCCCAGCCTTTCATCTGATAGAATACTATTAGTATTCCAGACAAAGGTATCTCCTGCATCTTTTGCTGGAACACTGCCTTTTATATCTGATACTAGAAACAGAAAAATTGCTCCCCTATCTTCTATCATGTTATATTGTTGTATTTATTCTTTCTTACATCTTTACTGAAGTCAGAACCCTTTTGTTATTTGTAGACAAATGTTCCAAACTGGCAATTCTGTAATGGTTGACTGGCTATTGCAATTTCAAAACCAGTGATATAGTCCTTTACCTAGTCAATATTGTTGTTTTGCAAGTATGCAATGAAAAGTAAGTGGAAAATTGCCACAGCTGTGAATTATTATAATATGCTTAGCTGAATATACTGCAATGCTTGCAAAGAAACTGCATTTAAGTAGTTCTTTTTCCTGCTAAGGAACAAGATACCTTAGCATATCACCGCTCATGAAACATAAAATGGAAAAGAACATGTGGTCAGATAAGCATTATGTAAAGGTTAGTTAATCTGGTTGCTCATCTCAGACATGACAAAGTGGGGGTATAAGATCCAGTGAAGAATTCGTGTTCTTCTGCCAACAAATCTAAGCTGTCTTTCTGCTGGTAGAGTAGGTAGGCAGGATGCAGGTTCTCTATACTGACAGCAGAAGGTTCCCTGAGTAACACCTCTGGGGGCATCCATGTAGAATAGCTGTGGTTACAGGCTGGGGGTAACAGAGAAGAAAAAGCCAAGTGATAGCAGGACCAGAGACTTTCCATAGGAGACATTTTGGATTTTTTTTTTTTTTTCAAGAGACTTAGTGGGTAAAGGTGCAACATGTTGCTTCTCGTAAGCAAGATGCTCATTCCGGCTTCCTTTCCTTCTCCCTGAATACTGTAGCTTCTAGAACCAGGCTAGACCACAGATCAAAAAGAGAAATTGATTATATTTCTGTTTTTTTACATCAGAATTTGCTAAACATGTAAATTGATTTTTCTCTTAGGTCATTATTGTAAACTGTCTTCTGTCCAGTCCTTAGCTCTGGAAAAATTTACTTCCTTGACAAGATGAGGAAGGGAATGACCATGGGTTGAAACATTCAGACTTTTTGCTTTTGTTTATTCAAAGCTGCAAGAAGCTACTAACACATGATTTTTAAATGCTTGATGATTTCCAGCATCCCCAGTGCCAAAAAACATACTATATGAAAGCACACTCTGGAAGTTAGCAAATATATGTTATAGGCATATGACCTTTACGTTCCAAAATTTATCTTCCATTTTTACTCTAAATATTTTTGCTCAGTGGAAAAAGAATGGTCAAAGGAAAATGAGCATCTGTTATCCAGACAGCAAACTCAGATGCAGCCAAAAATGTTCCTCTGGCTTTCAGTGTTAAAGGAAAATATAACTACATGATCTGTTAGCAGCTGGAGAGGGTACAAAAGGGAAGCTGCTTAGCAAAAATAAGTGAACTAGTGGAAAACTGCATAATACTTTAATACTCAAAATATGTACTTTTAAGAAACTTAATAATTTAGGGTAGGATATTTTTCAGATAAGTGAGTATGACCGTGTGAGTAACTAATTGCCAGACAAGATTTCTCTGAACAGGACGTACCTCTGGTCACTTTACTAAACTTTCATCCTTGGTGCACAACAAGAGAAGAGACTGCCATGCTCAATTTTAAACTAAGTCACCCCCACTTGATTCAGCAGCTTGTGGTAGGCAAGGAACCTTTGTCTTCCAAGGTGAAAGTGATGTAAGCAAACTTAAAAATGTCATTGCTAAGTGAGCCTGTTGCTCACCTTAGCAGCAGTTGCTTTACATGAAAACGGTTTATTCTGCTAATCACTGGTACTGAGTCCTACAATCTGTTGTCCCAGTAGCACTGCTGAAGACAATGGAAATATCAGAAGTGCACCATATGAAATCAATACCACCTAATTAATTAATTTACTGCATTGTACTACTTGCTTAAAAGGAGTAAGATTTTTGTAGCCAGAACATTCATTTACATTGTACTTTTTCCAATTTTTAAATAATATAATCTTTCTCCTAATTTCACTGAACATCAGATAACACTTTAATTTACCAGACTCATACTGTTGTCTGTTAATCATAAAGCAAACTATCTCAAAGCAAGCAAAAATCTGATAAAAAGATAAACAAGATATTTTCATTATTTTTTCATGATTTTTAGGAGTTCAGCGTTTGCTCAAGTCATCAACTAGAAAACTACCAGACATTAATAGGTATTGCATACTTTTAAAGCCTGTGTAACTAATGCTTAATTTTAAAATCCAACCAACACAGTCTAGAAACACACAAAAATAACACAATTGTAACTAACATTTTCTTAGATAAAACATTTTTAGATATTATTTCTTTCCAAAAAATACATTATGTCACTGAGCAAAATGCCAAAGTCAAAAATAAAAGAGAAAACCCCCCACTATTTTTCTGCCCCAGCATTTTTATAGCTACAAATAACACTTCAGTGGCTAGCTGGTTTATAAAATTAGAAAAGATTTATTTTCAGCATGTTTTTCTTGAGCAAGAGATAGCCTTCTTGTACAGTAACTTTGAGTACAATTATATTCCCTCATTGCTTTAAATAGACTAACATGCCAACAGGAGGTAAAGACCATTTTAAGAGAAAGTAAGGAATGTGGTTGTGAAAACTGGTAGCAAGAATGGCATTTGCTATTTTTACTTTGGTATCCTTAGGTGTATTTACTTGGCATTTTCAGTGTCTCTCTAGTACAGCATTAATCAATAGCGTTTATTTAGTTCACTTTTAGAAACATAGAATGTACAGAATGGCACCTTTAGTGCAAGTGATTATCAATATCTAGAAAATAAAAAGCACCTGCTGATTTAAAAATATCCTTTTAAAGAATCACTTCTAAATTGCCTTGAATTAAGATGTCATGTTAAGATCATTTTATCTTACAAGAGCATATTTAGCAAGTTACCTGGGAATTGGGGAATGTTTCAGCCCTTTTTTGTTCAAAAGAACGTATTTTAGCTTCACTCATCTTATCTGAGTCTGCAAAAATGTAATGTCTAGGAGAGTACGACTCCGACAAACAGCTAAGTAACCTCAGGATTTCTGTTGTGTGTCCACCTGTACAAACAAAACAAACTGCAGTTAGTGTATGAAAAAGTTTGTAACGTTCAATTTTTTCAGCTGAATCAGTCACTTTCCCCACCTGTACGAACAAAACAAACTGCAGTTAGTGTATGGAAAAAGTTTGTAACTTTCAATTTTTTCAGCTGAATCAGTCACTTTCCCTTTTAAAATTTATTGGTACTACTATTATCAGTGACACTCTTCTGATAGCAGAGGATTCAGTTAAAGGATGGTTGAGAATGTTTAAGTACCATGAAGACAATTCAGTTCCCACTGAAGTTTTTCAGTCAAGTGGGATTGAACCAGGATCACACAGAAGTACAACATTTGTGCTTAATGTCCTGTACACGATGCAGAAACAACTGGGCAAAGAATCACAGAATAGTTTTGGTTAGAAGGGACCTTTAAAGGTCATCTAGTCCAACCCCCTCTGCAATGACCAGGGACATCTTCCACTAGATCAGGTTTCTCAGAGCACTGTCCAACCTGACCTGGAATGTTTCCAGGGATGGGGCATCTACCACCTCTCTGGTGGCGCACCCTCATTGTAAAAAGTTTCTTCCTTACGTCTAGTCTAAATCTTCCCTTTAAAGCTATTACCTCTTGTCCTATTACAACAGGCTCCGCTAAAAAGTTTGTCCCCATCTTTCTTGTAAGTCCCCTTTAAATACTGGAAGGCCACAATAAGGTCTCCCCAGAGCCTTCTCTTCTCCAGGCTGAACATCCCCAACTCTCTCAGCCTGCCTTCATAGGAGAGGTGTTCATCCCTCTGATCATCTTTGTGACCCTCCTCTGGACCCACTCCAACAGGTCCACATCTTTCCTGTGCTGAGGGCTCCAGAACCTTGCTCTTGGCCTTGTTCAACTTCATTAAGTTCACACAGGCTCACTTCTCAAGACTTTCCAGGTCCCTCTGGATGGCATCCCTTCCCTCAGGAGTGCCAGCCTCACCTCTCAGCTTGATCATGTCCGCAAACTTCCTAAAGGTGCACTTGATCCCACTGTCTATGTCACTGATGAAGGTATTGAACTGTACTGGTCCCAGTACAAACCTCCGAGGGACATCACTTGTCACTGATCTCCATCTGGACTTTGAGCCATTGATTACTACCCTCTGGATGCAACCATCCAACCAATGCTTCATCCACTGAACAGTCCACCCATCAAATCCATACTCCTCCAATTCACAGAGAAGGATGTTGCGGGGGGCCATGTTAAAGGCCTTACAGAAGTCCAGACAGATGACATCTCTCACTGTTCCCTTGTCTACTGATGTAGTTATACTGTAGTCCATACTCAAAAGCCATACCATGAGGCAATGTTCAAAATGAAGCTGAACAGGATCTGGCTCAGAGCTGCACCATGGAAGCAGCTCTCCCACTGACTCTATCACGTGTTCAGTCCTATGACCTCCAAGAGCATGGACTGCACTATCTCAGCTCATAATACTGAAATCAAGCAGGCAGCTATTTCAATCTGCAGCTACACCAGCCTAAAAGCTGGGTGCTGACAGAAGAAATAGTCTAGCACCAGCCAAGTACTTCAAACAGTGCCCTTGAATGGGTGTTGACAACCTTCCAACTGCAAGGTCACTTTGTCCAGGTAGCTAAATTGGCACTAAACTGGAGAGAAGGGGAGGGTGTTCTTATTGTGTTTTTTGGGCGCAGGGTAAACTTTTTTTGTCAGTGGAGTTTCCTGAACTGGAGTTACAGGAACAACTGCAAGAGTGGAAAAAAAAAGAGGGGGAAGATTGTGTGCGTAGGTAAAATGGAGCTAGCTCACCTTTTATCTGCTGGACTGGATCAGCTTAACTCCAAACTGCACCCATAAGTATGTGCATAAGCATTTACTGGATGTGTTTCTTTTCACTCTGCTGGAAGTTGCAGACCAAAACAGTAAACTAAACGTATTCCTATTACCTCCAGTAGTAGCCCAGTGTCATTAGCCTCCCAGGAGACCTTTGCTATGCAAGCCAAGCACTCTTAGCAGGCAAACAACGGACAAGCAGCAAGAGCTATGATGCTGCATTAGATATGAGAGTTTGACACCTTTCCAGAGAATTTCATGCAGCATTTTTCAAACATTTTTGGAGGGACAGTCTCATGAGCAATGGTTTGTTGAAGCTTTCACAAATTTTAATGCAAACATCTGAACATTCACAGAAGAGCAGGAGATTCCCACTTCAAAAAAGTCTCAGAGAATAGGTTTAAACATTATATCAGTCGTAAATGACTTATGAATTATTTAACCTGGTAAGGTTATCTACAGTGAATGTATTTTTTTTAATATGTACAGACCAGATTCCAAATGACTGAAAGAAAACAAGCACCTTTCCAGCCCTCGAGGAAGTAAAGATGAACTGAAAAATTATGAAATTGCTAGTAAAACTTGGGATTGCAGAGAAATCCTGGTATTATTACTCAATTAGTCAGTGCGCAAAAACCACAGGGATACTGAGGTGATGAAATCAAAGCCTGTCTGGATTTGTCAATTACAAATTTTCAAGGTAGTCTAATTTTGGGGGGTAAATTAATTGCCCTGCAACTTTGTGGAGGTAACAAGGTGCAGCAGATGTGTGTGTGTCCCCTTGGTGTGGGGTGGCATATGAGGGCAACAGTACTGCAATTGACAGACCCACAAACGGCTCTTTGATGGGTCTGAAATGGGCAGAAATGTGGTTTGGGTAAAATTATTATAACATGTCATGTATGAAAGGGGTGTACTGATCTTTGGAAAGCCTTGCCCTGAATCGCCAGCAATAATTTTCTGTCAGAAGACCAAGCGGCCACACAGATCTGTCCTGCGTCAGTTTTAGCAAATATATTAATTAACAACTTTGGTGAGTGCATGTGCCATCTGAAGGAAAGGTTCAGAAACCAAAGCGTCAGACATAAATATAGATGAAGTGCCTCAAGGAAAAATGAAGCTTAATGATTACTCAAATCAAGAACGGAAAAACCAAAGACAGGCAAATACCCGGGCCGGGGCTGGAAAGAGCCGTGGGGTGGGCACCCCGTTGGCAGGCCTCCCCTCAGCCCGTTACTCCCGTGACTACAACTCCCGGCATGCACCAGGGCACGCCGGCAAAGGACGCTGCGGCCCTCGCTCCGCACTGCATGCCGGGAGCTGTAGTTCCTGGAGGCTGCCACCGGCGCGCTGCGGCGCTACCCTCTCCCGCAGGCGGCAACCCCTACTCACCGGAGCCGGCCACCACCAGGACCCTGAGGGGAGGTGTCCGTCGGCAGCGGCGCCTCCTCGCCAGGAGTGCCAGGGGGACGAGCAGTAAGGGGAGGAGGAGGAGAAGGGCGAGGGCCTCCATGGCTCATCCAGCACCGCCCCGCGCAGAAGCAGTCAGTAGCACATCCCGGCCTACGGCGGCCGGCGTGGCTCAAACCTCCCCGCGTCTCTGGCTGCCGCACAGCTGTGGTGGAGGCGGGAGGGCGGGCCGGGCCGGCGGTACGAACCCGAGCCGCCGGTCGGGCCGGGTCGGGTCGGGGTATGTGCTGTCAGCTGTCCCTGGCGCGGGTGGGCGCAGGGTTGCCCGGGGGTGCGTGATGCGCGTTCGCGGTAATAAAGTGTGAGGCGGTTCTGAAACGTGACGAGGCGGCGGCTGTGTCCCGCGCTCCGGTCTGACGAGAGGTCCTGTCTGACAGTCCCTTGTCCATGAGAACGGCAGGAACCGGCCGTCGCCGCTTCGACGACTCGTCAGTGCCCGGAGCTCCGAAATACTCCCCGTGGGAGCGAGGGTAACTAAGCACAGATGTCTCCACAGGCCTCCATAGCCCGGCACGCTGAGCCAGGCCTCCCTGCCCCTCCTCTGCCCTTTCTGTCAGTGAAAGGAGGTCTGGCTGCTCTAATTAATGGGTAAATTGAGAAATACGCGCTGAAGAAGTAGTCATGTGGCCCCACTGACACACACGGGTTCCTGCTGGAATTTGCAGGCATGTGCGGGCATAATCCGTATCCAGGTACGTGTGCGTACAGGCAGGTATAACTTTACATAGCCTACCATAATGCAGAAAATGAAGAATATTAATATTTCACTGCCTCTCATGATTCTTGTTTTCATTCATTTTCACACTGTAGCTTTTCATTTCAGTAGGAAGCGTGGAGCACCAGATCAGCACTCTTCATCTCGGTCGGCATCCAGTCTTTGTTGGGGAGATTGTGATGATTCAGCCACTGGACTAATCTCAGATGAGATGTGCTTTTGCTAGGAAGAGTAAGACACTACATTTTATGATTAGGAAAGAGTTTGTTCGTTGTTGTCTTTAAATTATCTGCCAGGGAGAAAGACACTCCTCTTGGCTACAAATCAGGGGCAATGAACTCCAGAACTTTTTGGAGTGGTTTGATACCATTGCTTTGTGGGGTGACTTGTCAAACATGAAACACGACAGCTGTGCACTTACAGCTCAAGTGCACAAACACAGTAGAGCAAGCACATTGCAATTCTGCATCTGTCTGTGGTGGTTTCTCTAGCTGTTTTTTTTCCTCTTGTTTGTTGTGAACAAATTGGACTTTTTGTATCCCTACGAGCCTTGGAAGCTGAAAGTTTCTTTCTCATTTTTAACAAAAACTTGTGCCAGTCATGGCTGCCAGTGGTTATTAAATAATTTACAAGAAAAAGATATACTTTCTAGCTACCCTTTGTCATGTAAGGATCTGTACTAAAGTGAATCTTTCTGATTTGCCTCTCACAATTCTACGGATTATGTTTTTCTTTACAACATACAATATTGCAGTTGTTTTAAGCAGAGACTATTAAAACCAGTGTTACCATGGTAAGGTCTTCCACCCAAATGAGTAACCTCACGAAAAAAATCTCACTGCTTAATCATTGTTGACATTTGGAAACTATAAGGTTTTAATTAATAGTTCTGTTGATGATGCATGGATTTCAAAAATTCATTTTGCTTTCCAACTTATTAGCTATGTAAGACTAATAATTAAGGGCAATAGAGATGCAAGTCTCTAAATTGCAGAACAAAGAGGAAGAAAGCACCACAGTCCTTTTTCAGAAAATAAACTACTACGTTAAGAGAGTAAGTTTTATAGGCAATTTAAATAGTAATTTTGTCTGTGATGATCTTTCCCCTCTTGTACCTTCTTCAGTGAAAATAATGTCATTGATGTAGAATGTATCCCAGGTTGCCACAGGGGGTGTAGCTAGCAATTGTTTTATTTGAGGATTTTTTTTTCCAAGGCTTTTCTTTATCTTCCCTTTGCTTTTATTTGTTCCACCATAAGAAGTGTTAATGAACTGCTTTTGGTTAGGCATTTTATTCAGAGAAACAGTCCTGGAATCTCAACAGCAGTGGTTGAAATAAAAACTTCAACTTATTTTCTCCTTTTCATGTAATTTCTTTTGTATGTACATACTTCCCCTTCTTAAATAGAATTCTTCTGTAAGGCTATTTGGTGAAATTCATGAGAAACTGACCTAAAACCAGTGAAGTTGGAAGGGTGGTGGTTTTTTTTGCTAGGCAAGTCATTTAAAATCAAGAGGAAAAAATGAAGAATGATGCATACAGGGAAATACTTCTTCTTTCAGCTAGAAAACTGAGGATCTGACAGTTCCTTGGAAGCAAAGCAAAGATCCTGACTTTCAAGGAGTCTAAAAAGCTAACCGGTGAGTTTGCCTCATAAGTTCCAGGAAGAAGTGCTGGAAGTCTTGTTACTCCCTGGGCATTTGACTTGAATAAGGAATCTGGCTTTCAAGTAGTATCCACAGCAAATTGCAAGTCTTGAGAGAAGAGTTGGAGTTTGGTGAGACTGTTAAAATAACTATTTAAAGATTGAAGCAACAGCCTGCAACATAGCTGCCATCAAGTTTTGCAGATTTTTTTTTTTTTCCTTTGTGAAAACTGAGTAGAGGCCACAAAGATCTCATTTTCAGTATATGCTAATCATAGCAACTCCTTGCTCACTTGATGCAGGCAATGTTATGGACCAGGGAGACTTCAGTCCAAGAACTGTAAGAGTCACAGAGCAGGCATGTTGCTCTCTAGTCATTCAGCTGCCCTACATGCTGGGTGATAGAGTCCCAGCTATCAAGTGCCTTGAGGATGCTTGTTCTGAGCATCAGGCATGCATGTGAAAGTTAATGTGAAAAGTCAGTAACTCTGCCAAAGTTTAGCACATCGTGTTCACATGAGCTAAATAATGTGAAGCAGGTGAAGTATAGGACTTCTGTGAGGCAGGCAATGGCTGGTGTTCGATAGTGTTCTACAGCTGGTAAAATTAATAATACTGCAAGTGAACCTGTAACCTGTTTGTTGGGGAGGAAGCAGTGCACTTGCTGTGAAAAGTCATTTGACGGAAAGTGATAGAAGTGCAGTAATTAGAAGGGCTGTCTGTGGTACCTCTGATGCAGGAAGCTAGCTCTGAAATTCTTTACTGAAGGAGAAATAAACCGTGCTCATTCTAAATAATTGATCACTCTTGTTTGAAAGAAAACTGAAATTCTTGAATGGAAAATACAGGGTTTTGTAAAATGGTATAATGTTTTTTCCATTTACTGCTTGTGATACAATGTTCCAAAGAAAAAACTGCTGCTATTCTTCTCATATGTGAATATTCTCTGTGAAAGCTTACTAGTTCATCTGGTGCATGTCTCCTTTGAAAGTTACACTGGTGAGTACTAAATGGAGGAAAACTCTCTCTCTTTGTAGTTTCAGTTTCTTTTGTCTCCAATAGGAAGGGCTACAGTTGGAATATAAGCAAAAGTATTTTTTTTCCCTGAAATGAAATGTTGGCAGCTTTGCCTGGCTGATGGTCATTCACTTCCTGCCATTCCAATTTTAAGTGATCTAACTTGAACTGTTGGAAAGTCTTTCCACGGAGCTGCAATACACCTTATATTTGTGACAATTTTGAACAATTTTTTTTCTTCTAATTATTAATTCTAAAAGTAGACCTATGAGCAAGCGTGATTATACTGTTGTTTTCTTAAATGAGGTCATTTGCCTTGTTTTGGCTGAGAGTGCAGCTCCACAAACAGTCGCATCAGCACAACTGAGGGATAAACTAGCAAAATGGTGGGAGGAGTTGGGTGAAGAAAAGGACAGGAACCTCTTAGGCTTTGCTACTGGAAAAATTGTAACGCAGAACCATTTATCATGTTAAAACTCAGTCATGTATTGAATGTATCTAAATATTCTGAGTTTCTGCGTTATAATTTCATAAGAGAACTGATTTGAAAAATGAGACATGCTGTACAAGTAAACTTGATTTTCTGCAGAAAGCAAATACTTCTTTTTAAAAATGTTCGTCCAGTGTTTTTAGAAATATAAAGAGCAGTGATGCTATGTTCTTTGATTAGAGAAAGCATGAAGAATTCTGACTGGGTTTCTAATGGTTCTTTGTCAATAATAGAAATGCAAGCTGCGTCTGGAAGACTCTAGAACATCAGAAGTCTTGTAAAAAGTTCTGCTGCTGGGAAGGAAAGAGATTTTTAATTAAATTAGTAGACTAGGCCATTGGGGATCAACTGGGGACAAGAGGAAGCAGAAAGCTGATAACTATATAAGCTACTGGCTGATCTCACTTGATGGCAGAGGTAGAATGTTATCAGAGCCAGTCTGTGGCAAACTTTGTCCCTTTTAGCAGCAGTTTCTTTCAATTGCTTTGGGCTAAGTGCAGTTTTACTTTCTTCTGAGTCATTACAATTACAGGAATGTAATCTTAGAAGTCCTGATTTGTATCTGTAATCAATAACATCTGTAATATTTATGCTAACATTACAGTTAGTGCTGTGCTTCCTGGTATAAGGGTGCTTCTCATATATTTTTAAGATTACTCTCATTTGTTTAGGTACAAAGATACAGCATTTGCAAACACTTAAACACTGCTTGTCCTAAATAGCCCAAAGGCTGGAACCAAATCCCCCAAATAAGGAGATTAATTCTCTATTAAAATTCAATTATTTCTCCTGTTCACATTTGCCATTTGTTACACCTCAGTTCCCAGTGGTGTGCTGTGGTGTCTAACTCTGCCATCAGTGACAGGCAACAAAGTGCTTGTTGAGTTCACACCAACTCAGTAAATAAGGTGTCCTTCCCTCCCACTCTGTAAAGATTTCCCTCTTTCTGGCCACAGTAAGTTCTCAGTGTGTAATCTTTGGAAGCAGGGGAGGAGAGAGGAGGTTGTTTTTAGAAATTGGTCTGGATATAAATATCGTGTAGGAATTTAGAATCAAAGTAGCAACTTGTAGGGAAAATGTTTTTCTCTTAACAGGCAGGAGCCACGCTGCTAGCAGATGTTTCTTTAACCTACTACATCTGACAGCGTGGCTAGAAAGCCAGTGCGTGTAGCTTTGATGACACAAGGTTTGGTAACCGTTTGGGCGCATTCTGAGCCTGATTTTATGAAGCAAGGACATTTGTAGTAGACAGCACCAAAATTACACATTGCAACTTGCTGTAATTACTGGGTAACACGTTGAGGAAGCATTCACTGTAACATAATATAAACTAATGTTCTGTCTATTCAAAATGCAGGAGAAAGAGACTACTGTTTTACATCTTAAAAGTACTGAGAGTCCTGGAGGTCACTGGGTGCCACTGGCCACTCCACCTATAAAAATAAGTCCTTCTTTTTGAATACTCCTAAAAATAGATTTGGAGTCTTATATTACCTTCCTGGAAATATATTTTCAAATCTATTTATAATGTAAAATGAAATTTTCAGGGTACTCAGGGGTTAGGATATAGGGTTCTCTATATATTCACTGCTGCTTTTTAACTGGGGTTTTCCTGAGCTTTCCATGGATCTGTAAGGAAAAGAAAAGCACATTTGTTTAGCCTTTCCTGTATTCCTGCTGTCAGAAAACTGGTCATTGCTTGTGCAGGGAGATAGGCTAGTCTCATGGATCAGCTTGTATCAGTGTATACCTCTTCCTTTCTCAGACTGAAAATCAGGTAGTTTGGGGGTTGCTGCTGCTATCACAGGTCGTCTTCTAGATTTCAGTCACCATCCCTCAGCATTCTTAGGCTTGAGAAAGCTTCTCACCCTTCTACACTCCGTCCATCTCTCCTTATGAGCATACAAAATGTGTCAGAACTGATACCTTCTGCTGTAAAGATGGGTTCCTGAGGTGAAAGTGACGATGGTTTTCTGAGCTGTTTAGGTTTCTAAAGGTCTAACATTGAATTAATGACATGCTGGAGTTGGAAAGAACTGGTCGTATGAAAAAAGGAAAGATTATGTGTTCTGATTTTGCTCTACCCTTTCTTTAATTTTCTTTTCTTCCTGTTTTCCTTGTGTTTTTTCTTTATGCAGTTGTATTTAAAAATATGTCATTTATTGAATGTTGTTTTGGGGATGCTGCCAGGAAAGGCTGTAGGTTTGGGGATTTGTCCAAATCCTATTAAAGTCAATGAGTGTAATGACTTCACTAGCTCTCAATGGAGATAAATTGAATTCTTTGTAGAGTTTGCAAGGGCTGGCCAAGTTATCTCAGCATTTTAATTTCTGTACATATGTGTGTAATTCTTGTAAGACAAAATATTAAAATTCTGAAATCTGAAATTCCTTCTATTGCTTCTACACGTTTAGTTAAAAATATGTAAAATGTCAAGCACACCAAACTATGTTAACAAAAAGCTGTCACAGTTAAAAGTCCAGCTATAGCCAATATAACTCTCCTTCTGCACTACTACTATTTCAATAGTTTTTTAATTTGTGATAACATGAAATTTAAAACCAGATACGCCTCACATTTTTTTCATCAACCACAGGTGATGTGTAACACTGTTCTCTCTGTGCTTGACAGTAGAAGAAGAGAATGTCCTTGCCTATATTACAGATTAAATTAATGTTAGGAAATTATACACCATTTGCATTAGTTATTGTGAATTTAATGCATTGTTAAGGTGTCAAGAGAGTTGGTTGATTCTTGATGTTGTGAATTAAACAGTGATAATGAGACAATCGCTTAGAGTTAAGTTATGGTATTAATTATTTTGCTGACTGATGATTAATATATTACTGAAAAGAAAAAAAGTTACGTATGTAGAAACACGAGTTTTCATAGCAGCTTCTGATTTACAAAAGCCGACCAAAGACAAATTAATAATAGAAATAATTTCCAAATAGGGATATTACAAGTGATTTTATATTCTTTTTAGAATACTTTGAAGACAAACTATGTTGCTTTTGATTGTATCTCTGTGTTTGAGGACTGGTAGAATTGTAAATACAAACAATTTTTAAGAAGATAGTAGTCAAGCCAAGAGCTTGTATAGGCCTCTATTATTATTATTATTATTATTATTATTTTTAAATCTAATCAATAAACTCTTTGTAAGGTAAACTTCAATCACCTTTAAGGAGTACTGTACATACAAAGTGAAAAACATTTTGTTCAAAGTGAAACTTGAATTACTGCCCTGGACTTGTTACCTTCTCACTTTGTTGCTTATATTTGTAGTCGAGAATCAGATCACAAGAAGCCTCGATTTCTGTAACTGCCAGAGAGGTGATGGGAGGTTGAGATGAAGTCCTGTGTTCTCGTCCAGGTTTTCTTTTTTTATTGTTACGACATGCAGGAGTTCTTTGGGACAGGCACTATACAAAAGTCAGTTGAAAAGGCTGTTTCTTGTTTAAGGAGATCTATTGAAATACCTCCAGCACCTAGCTTCATATGTTTTTCCCTAGGATAGCTTGACGTGTAAGAGTTTGTTCAGCGCCCGGATGGCCTGTATACACGAGCATCAAATTTGCTGAATTCTGAACTTCATGGACTTGCTGTGTGGTACGTCTGGCACGTGCAGAGGGTCAGAGGAGTCCAGTCTAACTCTCAGTGCGTGTGTGTGGAGTATGGGATGTCCAGACCACATCTGACTTGTGCACTGCAGAACATGGCATTGGACTAGAACATCCTGGTCTGTGTACGTGCAGGTACTGTTGCCACTTGCAGTAGGGAGATTCCTGTTTCCACTGGGGCATAATTTCCACATAGAAAAAGAGGACATGGCCAGAGGAACTCCAGAGGTGTATACCTGTTAGCAAATCAAACGAACAGGTGCTGAAATGTTGGCTCTTTAAGCAGCCCCAGTAGAATTAGAAAAGCAAAATGTGCATGTTTACAACAAAATAAGAGTAAATATAGAACACTTGAAAAAAACTCAACAAACAAAGATGATGTAATTAGTGTATATTACAATGCAATTTTCCTGCAATTTATTCAATTACACAATATGTTTGGTGCAATTCACAAAGCTGTTTATAATGCTTACATGATACATTTTTATGGTGAAACTCTTCCACTTTAGCGCTTTTTCATCTGTCACGTATACAATGAGGATTATTTTTATATTTGTCTTTATTTTTAATTATCCTTGGGTTTTATATTCATTTCCTCTAATATTTGTAGATACTGGAGTACGTCAGAGTGAGTGCTGCTCATCAGCAAAAATGTTTATGGTGTTGAATAGTGTTATTGGAAGTGGAAACCTAAAAAATTTCCTCTCTTGATCAGAAAGGCAAGCTTTAGTTGTGTGTTTTAGCACTGATACATTTAAATGCATTGTTTCTTCTCTTTCTATATCTTTTGTACCAGGACTGCTGTCTTAGATGTTAGGTTTGGAAGTTACAGTACAGAGTACATGATCTTCTTCAGATGACTAGAATTGCACAGAGGCACAGAAATCTGCCCATATGAAATGACATGCAGATCAAGGCTGTAGGAAGGGGAAAAATTACTAGGCCTGCTGGTGTCAATGGAAACTTAGAATTAAGCTCTAGGTAAGAAGCTAGAATAGTGCTAATACAAAATTTGAAAATAATTACAATATTAGCAAGTATTACTGCTAGAAGCAGCGTCTTTGCTAAAAGAAATTAACAATAAAGTAAAAACAAATAGTACATTCTGGGGCTCCTAAACTGACAAAATTAGGACTAAAGTATATTTCTTTTTGAAACAATGTATTACACCACTTTAACATCTATCCCAAAATATTAAATTAAAAAGCTGTAATATTTAAGAGATATCAATTTAAAAGTCATGTTATTCTCCGAAAAATCTGTATCACAAGTATTACTGAGTACTCTATTTGAGAACTATGTGAAAAACAATTCTTCCTTTCCTTATACAGTTTTCTTTTATTCATTTCAAAAGTATTTAGAAATGTATGATGTGAGTGTGCACCAGGTTTCATTGTTTCCTTGTGCCGCTAAGTAATTTTCCTTCCTTATTTCCTCAAGGCTTTCACAGATCAACAGTGGATGGAAACATCACTGAAAACGACAGACAATTTTTTGCAAAATCTTAAAAATTGACAGACACTCAGAGGAAACTGTGTTGTCTGAAGAAACAGCTTAACCTTTTCAGGGGAATATATCTGCCATTACAAAAAACCCTAATGAACCATTCTTTCCGCGCTGTGGTGCGTGCTGAAAGAGGCACAGTTGAACGCTGTGCAGCTGCTATGGCATGTGCCAAAGTTTCGCCTGATCTAAGCGAGGCTTGGAAGCTATCTTTAGCATACAGATGAGTGATACTCTCCCAAGCGTGTGCTCTTTTCACCTGATGTGCTGCTCCTGAAAATCTGATGCTATCATGTAAAACACAATACCTCCTATCAACAAGCCATGTTTTGTTCGCTGCTTGAATTATGCTGATTTTAATTAACAGTCTGGATATTAAAAAACCCGTTGCTTTCTGACACTTTGCATGTTGAATTGTTGGGAAGTAATTTGTTTGGTTTTAGCCCTGCTTGGCACTGATTTTGTGCTTTTCACTTGTATGCCATTGCATCTTCTTTCATTTTCTGCTGTTCTGACATCATCAAATTCTAGTCACTGCCCCATTGTACAGTTCTCTTGTTGCTAAGAGCCTCCACTCGCACAAGGCAGACGGAAGTATGTGCATGTGAAGAAAAGAGTCCAGTATTATTTCAGGCTTCCTCCTGCTGTTTCTGGTGTGCTCCAGCTCAGGGATTAGGGAACCCAGAAGCCACATCAATCTTGGAGCTCTCTGGTTTAAGCCTTTGGGAATGAAATGCTTTTTAGAGCCTCAGTTTGCTGATGGCAGAGATGCACCCAGGTGCAGCTTTGTTTACTAAAGAGCAAACCACATTTAACAAAGCTGCGGTACTGGCTCTGTTACCGTCCTTTGTGCGGGCTATGAAAATGCATGGAGGGATGTGAGGTGGACAGTGAACAAAGTGAGGGTTGGATGCCTGCTGGGTAGAAGGAAAAAATGTGACAGAAAAGGAGAAGGTGGTAAGAAAATAGAGGGTAAAGTGGGAGAGGGGAAAAAGAGGAGTCAGAATGACCTGGAAAAGACAAAAGGAGATGGCATTTCTGTGAGTTTGGTAGCTCATATTCAGCACATCTGAATACGTGGTTAATGCAGTTTGATGTTTCGTGATAATGCTGACATGGTGCATCAGTGTAGCAGTTTGTAATGCAGCCTAATAAACTCACAATGTGCTGTTTTACAGGTCCCCAACAGCTTCTCAAGGCTTATAATCAGGACACTAATACCAATAGAGAGGGTCATACTGCAGGTGAGGTGTAACTAGAGGAAGGAGACAGCGTGTGATCAGAGATAAGCAGAGAAGACAGGAAAACTGGAAGAAAACTGAAGAAGGAAGGCTGAGACAGAGGAAGAAGTTAGTGACCAGACAGCTTGCCAGAAACAAGTCTCTGATCCCTTACTGAGAGTAAGTACCACTGGCAGAAATGCTATTTCGGATGGGCAGGTGACAGGAACTAGGAAAGCTAAACTAACCAATCTAGGGTGAGAAAAAGGGGGGGGAGGAATGATGTGTTTAGAGGAAGTAAACTGAAGCAGGGGAAAATGAAGGTATTGTTTAGTACACTGCTATCTAAAAATGTGACAGGATGCGTTACAGTGACCTATGCTGGAACGTAAGACTCACATTCTGTAGCTCTCAATCTGAGGAGGTATGACACCATATGCATCAACACACAAAACGTCTGCTGTTTTGAAAATTAAGATTAGACTTTTCCTTCAGGGAGGCATAGAGCTCAGCAACTGTTAACTGCGTACATGCAGGGTGGTTTTTAAAAAAAAAAAACGCAGCGGATTCACTCTGTTTTTTCTATGCAAATTGTTTTGGAAGGACAGAGGATTTTTTATAAATGGAATATTTTTTTTTTCCTTTTCCATTCATGATTTTTTCAGCTTTTTTGGCTAAAACCAAATTCAGGTCCTTTCTTTTCAGTCTCCTCTTTTCAGACTTGGGCTTTCTGAATTAAACGCTGCAATATTAGCTGCCTACAGTTACTGTGATTGGACTCCATGGGTGGCCTGAGCAATTTTCAGACAATGGAGCTGGTTCTTTTCTCACTTGCAGCAGTGTAACTCGTTGGCTTCAGTGGAGTTACTCGATTCACAGTGTTGTGAAAGGAGGATTGTGCTTCCTCTTTCATGTGTTCTTTCATCTCCGTGATATTTTTGCTTACATGTATAATTGATTTTATGGGAATATCTCCTGCTGACAGGTAGACCTAGGAACTTCCTAAGATGGAAATAAATTTAAGCATTTTTTAGGTCACTGAGTTCAATGCGCTGCTGCTACAACACCATGTTATATAATTTCTTTCATAAACTGATCAGGCTTTAAACATTCATTAAGACTCTATTCTTACTACAATTGGTAAATTCAGACAGAAATGTTAGTTACGTCCTCTGTAAGTTCAAACTGACAACTGAGATAATTTTCAAACGTTCTAGAAGTATTTTCCTTTCTCACATATGCCTGACTTTTCAGCACAGCAACATGATAAAGGCTTCATTCTTGGTAGAGGCAGGCTCAGCTCTGAGAAAGCAGGGTTCTGAAATTACAGGCATACTTAGGAAATGGTACCGTGGCACTTTCTGTTCACAGTCACATCCCTCTCACACATTTCAGTGAAAGTTACAAGTCATCATCTGACAACAAATGTTTACCATACCTGAAGTGCCACCCTGAAAGTCAATTACAGAATTACAGGAGTATGCAACAGGTGTGTACAACTTGGCAGGGGATGGGTTACTGCAGACTTCAGCTTACTTATGCTGGACTACCTTCTCTCTACCACCCTGTCTTAGCAGACCCCCTCCATTTCAGCACGATTTGTTCCTCATTTACAGAATCCCTGAGCCTAATTGACACAAAGCTGAAAATCATCATTATAACCAAGAAGTTTAATTGTAATTAAAGTACAGATGAAAGGTAAAGCCCAATTTTTCTCAGACATAGTGTAAATAAGATGATTCAGCTGAAGCCAACAGAATTATGTTGTTATGTGCACATGCTACTGTGATACCTCCATGTCCCCCCTACCTTTTCTATGGTCTTCCAGCATGTGTGCCCTCTGTTGACATGGAATATAATTTTATTTTTTGCTCTGTGTTCCTAAATCTCTGTTCTGCACCTCACCTTAGCAAGCCCATCACCCGTGCTTCCCTTCCCTACTGAAGGCTGGCTTCAGAAGTTGCATTTGTTACTGGGGAACTTCTTGGCAATTGCCATTTAGTAGTGGCAACTTTGTTTTGCAGCTGCTGGAAAATGGTGGCTGTACATCACAAGGGAGTGAGGAAGAGTTGTCAAACTGTGGTCACTGTGTAGCAACCGGTTGGCTGTGATACTACTCTGATGACTGTTTATCCCACCCTTTGGCTACTGTTGTTTCTGATGCAGAAATAGGTGCACCAGTTACATCATGCCAGTACAGTAAGCCTCATACTTTTAGGTCTTACTGGAAATGCTCAAAGTAATTGTGTTGTAAGTTCATGCAACACTTGGTAGGAGTGGTAGAGTACTCTCTTGGTTGCGTTGGAATTGCTTTGCACATGCAATACAGGCTGTGAGGTTCCCTTTGGGATTGCTGGACATGGGATCTAATCTAGGGCAACCTGGACTTAGAGCAGCCATATATAACCTTGTCTACAGCCCTCCCTTCTACTGCAATGCCTTCATACTCCCATAGCCAGTTCTCTTTTATCTGCAAGTTCTCCTTATCAAAAAGCTGAGAGGTATCCTGGTGCGTGATCACATGGAGAGCAGCTTCCAGCCAGGAATCCTCAGTGCATCACCATTCTCAGCTTTACAGTCAGCAGTGCTCAACCCAGCACGTGCTGTTGGGCTGTTGAAAGATGGCATTGCCTCTGGTCATGATGTGCTGCGTGCTCGACAACGTGCTGATCGTGGGCCAAGGAGAGAGCAGTGAGGCAGGTCAAACTAGTTTCTTCACCCACGCAGCACACCAAGCCAAAGGAATTGTTTGGTAGGATGTGTGCTACACAGGCCTGATACAGAGGTTTGGGGAGAGTCTGGTTTGTCTTCTCGTAGGTGCTTCCTAACCTGTAAGTGCATAATGGTGATAGGTTATTTTGAGGCCTAGAGCTCTGATATGTGGTCTCTGGCAGGGTTATCTGTTCTGTTTAAGACATTACCACTCTTGTCTGTCTGCTTTACCCTGCTGCTAGGTATTACCACACTTTTGTGGTGGGGACTCCAGGCCATAGGCTGGCATATTAAAAAACTACCTACTTTGATCATTGTGCTTTGTGAGAACGATCATGAATTCAGACAGCTGGGAGAAATAACATCTTAAAACATGGCAGCTAAATCTGCGGGAGCTTGTTGTTCAGAGCCTTTGGTTCTTAACCATGAGTGGAAGGAGACCTTGCCTGTGCCCGCTGGGCTGAGGACAACCATTCCTGCCTTCACTGCCACTGCAGATCCTCCGTCACCCCAGAGCTCCACTGCTTGTCCATCCGGAAGACTGTTGTCATGGTTGTTACAATTCAAAAAGGCAAGGAGTTTATATAAGGAAACTTCAAAAACAGTGATAATGGTATATGCAGAAATTGAGTACTGTTCTTTGGAAGGTGAATTATTGCAGAAAAATTTCTTTCTAGTTTATGTCATCTTGAAAGTGGCTTGTGATCCCGCCATGCAATTCTTCAGTTTTAGTGGCTGTTCTGTTTCACTAAAAACTATAGGCATAATAGAAAATACGTTGAAATCTTCCTTTATATGAGGAATAAAATTATATGACATGAGAGTAAAAGATGAGGCTTTTATCCCAATTTCACTTAGAAATTGTGTTGATGTGATAATGCTGTCTTTATTTGCCAATCTGTTTGTTGTGGAATGGAAGAAGATTGGAAGCAGGAATGGGATCTCCTCCTTCACTCAACTGAGAATGTCCCATGGAATTTTATGTGCAAAAATCAGTTTCAGAGAAAGGTGCAAGTCCACAAGAAGTCAAACTGCAGTAGTTCAGATGTTTACACAAACAGTTATCTGGCAGTTGATTTATGTTCAGCGGTGGATTAGGCTGGGATGGTTTGAAACAGTTAGAGATGCTGGCGGCGCGCCCTGCCCACCTCCCACAGGTTACCATTCCTGCAGCAGGGATGGCTCAATGCCTCATTAATCAGTATCCCAGTTTCTGCATTCCGCAGATGGGCACGTTGAAGAAGCCAACATCAGTTTCTGTTCAGGCTTAAGCCATCGCACGTCTGCCGTGGGAGACATCTTGCAAGGGAGATTAGTGTACACAGCTGGGACAGATCTCTCTGTCAGCCACTGCTTGATCTAGTGTGAGATATGTATGAACACCTTCAACGTTAGGTTGTTTGAGAGAGGGGAATTTTTACATCATTGATCTGAGAGATCGGGAATCCATCCTTAATGGAAATGGAGCGTTGAGGTGATTTAGGATGCGTGTAATAGAAGCATGCCAAGGGGAACAGACTCCTGACCATTACATGTTCTAGTTGGTGAAAAACTATGTCCGCTCATCATCATAATATTTAATTTTGTTTCTTTTTGATTTTCCAATACAACAGTTCAAAAAATGTAAAATGATGAATACTTTTAATACATTTAATACATTTAATACATTTTAATACTTTTAATACATTTAATTTCAAAGCTAGCAAGCATCAGCAACACCTGTACCCCGTACGTGGGCTACGTTCCCTATCATCCTGAGCCCTACAGTGCTGCCAGGGAGCGCACAGACACGCTCCCAGGACACGGTCACAGCAAAACTTTTGTCCCGACGTGTATTTTAGATGTGTGTGTGTGTGTGTGTGTGTGTGTAAAGGAAACCCGTAGTGCCTGACGCGGTGCGGGAAGGTGGGATGCTGTACCCAGCCGCAATTCCCCCCCCGCCCCATAAGCCGTGCCCGGCCATGTGCCTCTGGCCGCCCTCCCCTCGGCGGCGGCGAGCCGGGCCCGGCGGCAGGTGGCGGCGGCGGCTCGGCCCCTTTAAGGCTACACCCGCCGTAACCCGACCGCCGCCGCCACCGGGGCCGAGCATCCTGCGCCCGGGAAGGACTGTCCCGTCCCCGCCGCCGCAGGGAGGCATGGCGGCGGCGCGGCCACGGTAGCCCCGCTCCCAGGTGCGGCGGGCGGGCAGGGAGGGAGGAAGGGAGGGGAGAGGAGGGGGCGGCGGGCCCGGTGGGGCGGTGAGGGGCCGGGGTGGCG